GCTAAATCCCTGGGCCCTAATCTTTCCAAAGGAATCTGGGATCCAAAGGAACTAGATCTTTTCTGATATGTAAAAAAGAAAGCTTCAAATATCTCATAACATGAAAATAAATGTCCTTCAAGACTGGGTCCCTTATCAGGTTGCAATTAAGATAGTGGCCTGCATATATATATAGTCATCTAAAACTTTCACTGGTGTTGGGAAAGTCTGCTTCTTACATGGCATGCTACAAGGTTGGGGAATTGATCCCAGGTGTCGGTAGAGGCCTCAGTTCTGCCTGTGTTAACCATGCAGCTGTGCATGCCCTCACAACATGGTGGCAGGCTCCCCCAGAGTTTGTGGTACATGAGAGAACAAGGCCTAAACTACAATGCTGTTATGGCTCGTGTTTGAATGTACCCCCAAAGCCTCATGTGGATGAAGTGGCATTTTCTTTTCCAGAGGTGGCTGAATCTGGAATGTGTGATGCTGGGATTAAGGGTGTGTGTGCGATTACTAAACCACTACACCTGAGTGCCTGGCTTGGCAGCACCCTAATCCCAGTAGTCTGGGTGGGATAAAGGAGGGAGAAAGACTCTGTTAAAACCTTGTTGCTTTTGCTACCTTCTGACTGCCATGAACTGTTTCTCCTCTGGAAGGCCTGTCTGCCATGCTACCCTGACTTCAAGCCAGCTGATTATGGACTGAAACTTCTACAAACTGCGAGCTAAATAAACCTTTCTCCCTTTAACTCTGAGTTTTGGGTATTTTGTCTTAGCAATGACAGAAAAGTAATTGATACAAATGGCTTCCTTTTATGACCTATAACGGTGATGGTGAACCTTTTAGAGCTTTCAAGGATAACAAACAGCCTGCTGCAGCACGCATGCCATAGGTTCGCCACCACTGACCTATAACTTGGAAGTCACATATCATTATTTCTACAAAATGAAGGAAAAACAGAACCAGGTAACATAGATGAGCACTTTCCAATGGAGGACAGTATCACAGTGGACATGAATACCAAGAGGAAGGATTACTGGAGGCCACCTTAGAGGGTAGCTACCATGTTTGTTATGCCACTTTTCATCATACCGGAAACAGAAATTCCTTGAATAAGGAATGTGTCTAATTTAATATTCAGGCCCAGTGGAGAGTCTTGATTTCCTGCAAGGCAATATGTCGCAAGGTGAAAAAAAGACACAGAAACAAGACTTAAATAGATATCAAGGAACTGGAATGGGCCATGCCAAACTTGTGGTGATGAGGCCAAGCATGTGGTGAAGACCACAAGCAACCAGGTCTATCGGAGTTTGATCACATGGGGATATGTGGGTAAGAGCAAGGTGGAGGGACTCATGTGGCATCTGGTGATGTCAGCTGACACAGGCCAGGCTTGTAGAGAGGAGGATTGGGCATGCTCGGAGAAGGAGCAGAGCTGACCAAAGGTCAGTGAGGGTTAACTAGTAAGTTACTGAGAACAGGGGATGGGCAGCTCTGTGGATGGAATGTGAATTGGAGCCACATGGTCATCAGCTGCAGTGTTAGCTCACTCGGAGCCCTGTAGCTTCACAGATCAGGACTGAGATCTCCACAGCAGCCATTGCTGTGGAAGCTAAACTAGCCCTCACCGCCATCTGGCCTGCTCTTGTGAGTCATGTAGGCTTTGGTCCAGCTCCGAGTACATTATAGGCATTTACGGGGGGGGGGGGGGGATGCCTGCTCCATATTACAGCCTGCTCTGACTCTGGTCAGGGTGGTCTGCCACTGTTTAGTTATAGTAGAGGGACAGTGTGACAGAATAGGGGTATTATTGAATTTGAATTCTTTTTTATACAGTCTTGTGAGATATCATTAATGTCAATAATCACTAAGAGTTTGAAACATTTTATATAATATTTATGTCTCTGTGCTATTCCAGGCAGTCTGCTTTTCTGGCCCAATATTCTTTGATGAACTCCTGTTCGTACTACTGCACAAGATCTTTTGTTCAGAATTAAAGTAAGAGCTTATACTCTGTTCTGAGGGACCAGTTGCTGAATGATGTAAAGTATAAGAGGAACTAGGTCAGTTGAATTTTACCAGGATCATTCTGTTGCCTACACAGGACGGGTTCGTGGGGGGAGATATAGCAATACTAGAGATAGGGAGATCTGCTGTCTTACTTTTCTCCCATTGCTGAGAAAAAATACCCGACACCCAAAGTTACAGGCAGAAAGGTTTATTTGCCTTACGGTTTGTAGAGGTTTCAGGCCATAATCGGTTGGCTCCAAGGCAGGATGGCAGAGGAGCAATAGTTCATGGCAGAAAGATGGTAGCAAACCAACAAGGGACCTTAACAGCATCTCCCTGCCCCTGTTATCTTAGTCAGACTACTTAGGGTAGGTAGCATTCACACCTTTAAGCGTCGGCCTAGCACTGCACCATGAATCAATCACACACTGTAGATTCAGCCACCTCCAAAATAGCCTATGACCACTTGAGGCTTTGCGGGTACAGCTAGACACAAACCATAATACCTGCTAAGAGGCTGCTTCAGATAGTCCCTTCATCAGATCAAGTTTTACAACGCAGTATTTGCTATGATTTCTAACTTTCTCATCAATTAACCTGAAGCTTTGCAAATTAATCTAGCCAAAGCAGTAATGTGTTGATAAACAGAGAAAGGCAAAACCCTAACTTGTAACATTTATGAACTTCTGGAGCATGAATTTCTACCATGGCCAGTTTCAAGCTACCAACATGCCATCACTGCACATGGTACTGGGAAGAGATGGGCACAGTTGGTTTTTATGGGCCAGTGACTACCTGGCTCCAGCACTTCATTGCTATCTTTGCACTCTTAAAGCAGGAGTAGCTAGTTAGATGAGGACTTAAAAGCTGCTTTCACTAAAAAGCACTGACTCTTCATTTGGAACTACAGATGAATGGGTAATGAAAATCAGGATAAAGCTTGGCATCTCTGCCTTCATTTTGTTCCCTTTATTACCTTAAACTTTTGGTCAGATTCTTACTGAGCTCTACACATGGGCATGTTAATCACAGAAGGACTGTCTCTTTAAAAATGGACGATACAAGGTCTACTACCCCTAATTTTTGTTTTTCAAATGGTTTCACTATGTAGTTCAGGGTGGCCTTTAACTCCTGGTGATCAGTCCTCCTGCCTCAGCCTCCCAAGTGCTGGGATTACAGGCATGAGCCACCCAGCCCTTATTATCCCTATATTTACCTAAACTCTCTCCTCCCCTTCCAAGACTAAGGATATGAGGATAACTAAGGTATTCTCAAGATTTGCAAGGACATACTATGTCCTGTTCCAGACTCCCTAGGGTGGCACCTAGAAATCTCCACTCATTGCCCTAACTCCAGTCACCCTGGGCTCCACAACTGAGGCTGCCCTCCCAGCCCCAAGCAGGAGCAACTATCTCAGGAACTGGATTGCATCCTCACAAAATAGGACTTCTCTGGAGCCATCTTACCAAGCTAGAACTGAAATAATGATCAACAAGACTCTACCCGCCACAGCACCCCAATAAAAGCTGACCCTTTCTCTTTGTTAACTGGCCAGCCTGGTCTTGTCAGTGCTATCCTTCTTCAGTTCTTCTTCCCTTTAAGATGAACTTCCTTCCCCATTTTCTTTCCTTCTCAATCAAAAGTTTTGCCAGCATTCCTTTTCTTGGCTTGTTTTCATTTTCTCCTATCACCAGGGAGAAAGACCCCATGTATGAAGGATTCCATGTACAGTATCAAGAGGAACAGGTCAGCAGAGTGGGAACACGAGGGATGAACTGAGTCAAAGCCCTCTTTCACATGGCTATGGATGGTGAAGATGAAATTCCTAGACACCTACTCTCCCTAGAGGAGGGCTGCCAGGATCTGCTTTCATCAAAATTAGTTTTCTCTCTATCAATGTCTTCTAATTCTACCATTTTTATACTTTAAGAATGAGCTTTTTCTTCCCTATTTATCAGTATTCCCTATTTATTCAACAAGTTATAACCTACTACATACATTTGTTTTTTGAGACAGAATCTTGCTATGTAGCCAGACGGGCCTTGAATTGGCAATTCTCCTCAGTCTCTCAAGGGGTGATACAAGAGTGTGCCACCTTGCCTTGCCTTAATTGTTTTGATGCTCAAATTGTTCCAGATTTGGCCAGTGGGAGCTTTCAAACTGGCAGCTGTAATCTGATAAGCCTCCATAATTCTTGGGGCACTTCCTCACTTTTTGGCAGAACAAGATATGCTGGGCTCATTTGTACTTCCCCTGCCCCAGCACTGTAACTAGTCCTTTTCGTAAGGAGCTCCATGCAGGGTGCATTTTAAAAAACCGATCTTAGATGATTGCAAATAGTGTGTATTTCTCACTTCTGGTTGATAAATCAGTTTCCTATGAATTTGAACAGCATGAAAAGATTCTCCAGCATTTAATCACTTGTCGTGAACCTGTAGATGAGGGACTCTGGATTATTGTGCTTTCGTTTAATCAGTTGGGGATAGCCAAATTGAAGTAGTTTCTCATTTCCAGAGCAACACTGGCTCTACCATCTAATACACTATAATAGAACTATGGGTTTTAGTGAGGGCTGAATGTGAGAAATGCCTCTAGATGGATATAATCCCAAACTAAAACCTCATCACAGGTTTAAAAAAAATGGTGAAGTGACTTGTCACTTTTCCTGGTAACCTCAAGCTTTGAAGACTAAGAAAAGGTCCCCTACTTGAGAACCTCCAAACTCCAAGATCATAGAGCATTTAAAATTCACTGATGAAGCAAATCTGGACTAAAGTCCTTTTTTGAGGACTAGGAAAACATTCTAGTGAACTCCTAGGACCACTCTTAGAAATGGATAAAGTATCTTGATCTTTCTAGATAAATAATTCCACATTTTCTATTTCCTTTCTAGTTCTTATTCCATAGGACTTTAAATGAGACTGTGTTTTTTCTACTTACATACACACCTGAGTAACACTTCTAAAAATATTTTACCTTAAAGCTAAGAAAAGAACAAAAACAGGAACTTGTAAAAATACATCTTTTAATAAACATCAAGAATTACAGTACACTTTTATCGAGGTTTTACCTTGCAGTTTACAGCAAACATACTATCCTTTATAGTGTATATGTACAAGTAAAATAAGCTCAGAATTTCATTTTTTTTTTTAAATTGTTTTCCAAGGCTGGATAAACCAAAGCTGGTGCACCATACCACATTTAAGGTTGTTTTTCAAGCTGGCTTCTGTAAAAGGTTTTTAACAACAAAAAGTTATCCCCAATCACAATGATAGCCTGATTAGTGCTCAAGAACCATTAGAAAGAACTGTAAATACTTGTTTTCCTTTGATGGTTTAAAAAAACAGCCACTGATAGCAAATTTGAAACACTAAGACAATAAGAAAACAGCTGTTTCTTATGCCATGTGAATCCATAACAAATACTAATTTGAGGCTACAGATTATGAAGTGTAGAAAAGCTCAATGTTTATATGAGTAGTTATCACATATAAGAACTAAAAACTGCCTAATATCTCAATGGCACATTCTTTTTCTTTAACATTGTTTATGCAAAGACCAAGGGATGGTGGAATTCTTGATCCTTCTGAACAAAATTTTAGTGAGAAGGGACTAAATTACTCAAGTGGGAAAGTTAACATTAATCTCAAAATTCTACCTGTCTTGGAATGATCAAGACTCAGCTACATCTGAGAAGAACAAAAAGAATTACAACTGAAAATTGGAATCTATAAATGAAAAACAGCCTTTCATGCATTCTATGGATGGCATTTAAAAATTATGCAACTACATTTATTTTCTATTTACATAAAGTAGTGTTGGAATTAGAAAAAAGTAATATATATATATATATATATATATATATATACCAGAATCATATTCAGATTTGTAAAAGAGGCATAATCTGCTTATTATACAATTAGCTATTTGTAAAATCTGTAACAAAAGAAAGTCCTTATGGACATAATATGAATATGTAGCTAATTACTCCAACTAAATAAGCAGCTCAAATTCATAAGGGCAAAGACCCTAAATCCCTGAATCTCGAAGTGTTATCTCAGTGTTGACATAGTTACACCTAACTGATACCACCTCAGGATACAGATTTTAAAAACTCATCCCTCTTTAATACATCATTATACTTTTAGAGGTGGAAAAGGTACAATTTCTCTACCCCTTTTACCCAGCCTCTTGATTCTGATAATGTTATTAGAGCACATAGGCAAAGGGAGATACCATAAGAATCTGATGAATTCAAGTACAGTGAATTTCTAAGGTCCAGGATATTTCTGGTGTTATACAATTAGTCTGTCAGAAAGTCACCATTCTGGTTGAAATGTATTCCTGGATGAATGACTGAGAAATTGGTATCAGCTGCCAATGAAGTCAGCTTGTTCACTAGTCATCAGATAATAGTTTGATTATTTGATCTTGTCTATTAGATTAAAATTTCTTCATGGATGGGACCCGATCCCCTACTTTTCCTGTATCCTCCAAACCACCTACTAAAGTGGCAGGCCAAGATAAATGCTCAAGACAGTAATCCGTGATGGGGGAGGAAGTGAATTAAGGGTCAATGTGGTTATGGTAAAGCTATCTTCTTACTTCACCCAAACAGCAGTCATCAGAGTGAATCACTTCTGTTGTACTGAAGAACAGATTCTTGTCCCCAAGCACCTATGTCTAAAGAGAACAAACCATTAAGTCTGAACAATTTCTCTTAGCTCCTAAGAGATTGTATGTGTGCATGAGTACTGCCTGATAGATGGTATCTAGAGTAACAAGTTTTTCTGCCTCAGAGGAAGCACAAATTAGTCACATGGCACATTTTAACTCCAACAATACAATTTATGGAATCATTAAAATTATTTAAATGTTATCCACAATAGATACTTAAATATTAGTCTTATTCTGACTTCACTTAAAATGCATTTTACTTTTACACTAGCATGAGGTAGAAGATAAGGAACTCACAAAAAAAAAAGAAAGTAATTTTCAAATTACTGAAGCTTATTCAATACAGTTAGCTCCAAAAGAGAGAAAACAAGTTACAGCCATAGCTGCTAGATTATTGACTAGTGTTAAAATATTACCCCTAGCTGAAAGAAATTTCTTATATTTAAAGTAGCCTCTTTTTCCAGTGTCAAGTATTACAGAAAAAGGACAAAGCACAATCTGAAATATTCATAAAGATTGTACACAACAGCTTCTCTTAGCCATCATTCTTTACCATATTATTTTAAACCACACACAGGCTGTTTCCCTTAAATAACTGATCAGATATCAAAGAGGCTAAAAATCCTTCCAATACAAGAAGCAAGAGAGAAGAAATGTTTTACATTTAAAAATAATGTAATTTACTCCTCATAAAAACTAGCAGCACTTCATTCTACCAGGACATACAAATTTGGATTTGTTGACTCTCAGAACAAAGGAAAATGTACAGAGGCTCAAAAAGGCTCTTTATACAAGGGGAATGTGAGAGGCTACAAGAAATTTGTAAAACAATTAACTATCTTCTCAATTAGGTAGTGTGTGAAACGACTGGAATGTCAATTTCAATGGCAGAGAGGCGGGAACGTGCTGAATAGGGCTGGGAGTAACTGTGCATACTGGGAGGATGGGAATACAGAGGCTGCCAGAAAGGAGAAGGCAAAGATTTGCACGCACAATACCAAATAAACAGTAAGAGGGAAGTCATAAACAGGCCCCCCGCACTGGCGATGGTGACAAAAACTGCATAATCAAACGTGAAAACTGGTTCAAACTTCCTGTTCAGATGGCTGTTATAAAAGATGACCCAGATGGATGGAGAGAGGCTCACAGTACCTGCCAGAAAAAACAGTAGCCCAGCCACCAAGTGACAGCCTGCACTATTGACCAGACACTTGGCCAGTTTGATGTTAGGCACAGAGGACCTGAAGGCCGTGTTACACATTCCAATCAGGCAGAGCAGCAAGGCACCCACTGCAATCAAGATGCTGAGGGGCAGGGCAAACTGGAGGACACGCAGGTCCAGCTGGTCAACGGATGAGTACCAAGTAGTGTCGTACATCAGGCAGTCACTGCTTCCATCATACCGGGCACACTTCACCCATAGACCTGTGTAAACAGTCAAGTTCTTCTCATTTCTGTTGAATGTGATCAGTCGTAATTTTCTCCAGTTAGGAAGCAAAGTTCCCGCAAAGAGGCCTGCGACTGAGGCGATTCCACACAAGAAGGAGAGGACTGTGGCTGCGTGGACATCTCTACAGCCCATGGCAGGCAGCCTTGTGCAGAACCGTGAGACTAGGGAGTGACACACAAGAGGACACATCATGAAGGGACAACAGTAGAGCACAGCAGGACAGGTAGTACCAATGAGACAAAAACCTCCAATGATAAAGCCAATGCATAAAGGCAAACTCCTTTGTACAGAGGGAAACTGTCCGTACAGTATAAACACACATGTGACCCCAGAGCTCAGGTGCATGCACATTCACTTGGTTATCAATGTCACAATTTTTTAGCCATCAGTGTTTTTCTTCATTTAATTAGAAAAACCAACAAAATAATGTAAAATTCTCTCAATACCGCACTTAAAATTTCCTTGGTTGTCACTAATTGTTCATCTAGTACACATATATAGTACTGATCACTTATATGTACCAAGTACTCAGATACATAAAAAGGTCCAGAGCACTCAATTATTGGCTGCAAGCATCATGAATTCAGCCTCAAATATTCACATAGTGAAAAATGAGACTAGGCAGCAGAGAAATATGTATCTAAGCTTGGCAACTCTGATTAATTTCAACAATGATTAAGAAATCAATTATGTGTTGATTCTTCTGTTTTCAATTAATGGCTATATGTTACTCATTGGACATACTCTACCTCATTAAGAGTGGCTAATGTATCAAATTAGTATGTATCAAAGCTATAAAATTTATACTTATATATTCATATATTTCTATTTACATATTTTAATAGCAATGGAAAAATACATAATTTGTCATATAAAAATTCCTTATAAGGGACTGGCAATGTGCAGAGCCTAGAATGCACTCTGGTCAATTTGGCAAGCACATGGTGGGTGAATCTTTGAGGTGGACCATGCATGTAAACATGTGAACATGGCTGCTCTGCCCTTTCACAGTGGCCCACTCTCACACTGTAGACTATTCTTTTCCTACTTTTACGTGTGGCCCAAACTCACTCTGCAAATCATGTTTCTTTCCTTATCTTTAATAAAAGCAAAACCTTGCTACCTTTTGTGCTTGTTTTACCCAATTCTTTGTTCAAGATAAGAACCTAGAAACCAACTCTGGAAAGAGACCCAAGCACCCTAAAATCCTGTAACATATCTTAGCAAAGTCAGCCAGGAGCAAGTAAGGTCCTTTGGGCACAATTTTTGGTTTGTTTCTCTCTCTCTGAAGTCTATGACTCTTTTTTTTTTTTTTTTAATCTTTCTTGTTCTCGATTACTCACTGCAGGTACAAGTTAGTAAAAAGCACTCAGAAAGCCTGTTATAAACCCAGTCACAGAACAGGTCAGATTCATGCATGCAACCGAGATTTCAGTATGCTTTTTTGTCCTAATGTTTCCATTCTCCATGATACTTTGCTCAACTTTTTCACTCTTCTCGGAAAATTAGTTACATATTTGTAATTTGGTCTCCTGCTCAAAGTCACGAAGTCACTGAGGCCAAACCCTTTTCCCCAGGGATCTCTGCTCTCAAAAAAGCAGCTTATAGCTCTTACTGGGTCATTGATATTAGGAAAAGACAAAAAGCTAAATATCTATACAAACTCCAAATAAGCCTTTCTGGTGCTATATGCAGCAATCCGAAAAAAGGGAGCTTGCTGACTATCCAGCAATCACCCATTAAACACAAGCAGAAAATTCTACAATTCCTAGAGGCAGTCCATCTTTCTAAGCAGGTTGCTGTCATTCATGGCAAAGGACACCAAGGAGACATGTCTAAAGTCTCTTTAGGAAATCAAAAGGCTGATAAAGAGGCAAAAAGGAAAGCCTTATAGCCCTTCAGGACCCCTAGCCTTATTCCCAGTTCCTGAAGATCCATTAAACTGGTCCTTTCTTAAGGGAAGCAGTGGAAAGCTATAAAATTCCTACATGGGAAATGGTCACTAAAATTTTCACAGCACTAAGACTCTACTCCTATGAACCTCCGGAAGACCTGAGGCTCCTCTCCAAAATGAAGGACTCCAGTGCTGCTCTGGGTGCAGATAAGCAGTCACTAATGACTCCTAATTCACCACAGCTTAAAAGGGTACCAGTATTGAGACTCCTGATTTTTAATTAGATTCATAATATGGGTAATCTTACTAAAGCTATGACTCTCAGGCTCTCAATAATTTATCTGACATCCCATTTTGCCATACTTTCTCCTCCACAGGAACTGTGGAAATCTGACCTGCTCCTTCTCATATTTGGGCTCTATATGCATAACCTAATAGTAAAGTAACTCTTGACAAATTCACCAAGCTTTCTCCCATCAAACAGGCATCTCAACAGGCTTTCACATGTAGACACTAATTCTTTCTGTCTTCTGACAGGTTTTTTCCCCCTTCAACCTAGCTCATAAGCCATAACACCCCAAGGTAGTTGAAGAGCACATAATCCCCAGTAGGTAAAGGGGTTACAGCCCTGTTCAGCAGGAAGTAGTTAGGAAGAGAGACCTCCACCCCCTCAGCATTCCATAAAGAACTACAGGGATCTGTTTCTGAGAAATGAGGCAGCAGATTAGAGCAGGGTAGACTGGCTGGGGAAGTAGGCACAATCTGTGAACTGCAAAGTTCCAGGGCACATGTGTAGAACAGTTCCCAAAACCCTGCACATGGACTACTTATGTGAACTTGAGAAGTTTTGAACAGGATGACCTAGACCTGTGGTCAGCCCGAAGAGTTGGAGATGAAAAAAAGAGTTGCTACTGAACTCTCTGCTGTGTTCTTTCACATAATCCACTCTCATGCTGTAGAGTATACTTCTTTTCCTTTTATTTGGCCCAGGCCCAATCTTCAGAGTACGTTTCTTTTCCTATCTTTAATAAACATAAAATTTCACTATCTTAAAAAAATATGTGAGCTTGTTTCCATTTAGGAGGCAGGTTGACCTTATAGTCTAGGACGCCAATTCCCATCATGACTATGATTTACAAAATGAGCAGGTCAGCTATATCTTCTGACCTTCAAATTTCTAATCAGTAAAATATCCCTAAGGCAGCTGTGAGAAGATGAGTAAATCAGAGTATAGTCAGAAATTTAAATTTGTAGTGATCATTAGTAATTTACTTTCTTCAGGTAGTAACATGCTTTTCTTCTGTATTCTCAGCAAATAACCAGATGATCACAGTCATATAATAAGAGTGCATTCTCTTTGGAATACTTATGACCAAACTAAAAAAGACTTTCAAAATGACCACTTCCATTTGTCATTTGAATATTCCATAGTGATTTTCAAAGTAGAAGGATAAAATCTGGTACACAATTAAATGTTAACAAAGATATCACTCTGAATAAAAATATTTTCAAAAGGATGTATTTTCTATGGTTTGGAAAGACTGGAGCAGGAATAGTGGCCAAGAACTTTAGGAACTCTTAAACCCATTACAATTGTTTTCAGGGACAATTTCAAAGAACAGATATAAAAGAACATGTCTCATAGCAGCTAAGTTAATTCTTGATAGCAACTCTGGCAGTTCCTTCTACATATAATTTGGGTTTTCTTAAAAACCATTAAGTCATCAATAATCATACTCACAGGAGATCTGTTCTATAATTTTGTTGAAGAGCAGTAAAAAAAAAAAAAGTATTGTCATCAAGTGTGGTAGCAGGGGGAAAGGAAATAAGATATAATCAAAGGATATACTTACCCTTTAAAGTACCTGACAGTTCTAAAACAGGTTTATTTAATTTAGAAGAAACACACAGGAGAGATGATATGGGCCTAGAGACAAAGGAAAACGGCCCAAATTAGTAGTCCTCAAAAAACTCAATTTGAATTCAAATGGAATTAAAAAATAATTAGCAATTGCTTAAAATTAATAAAATGCTAAAACCAAAAAAGGCAGAAAGTTTTTAAAGAGACAGTTTATGATAGGGGTATAAGCTCAGTGGTAGAGCACTTGCCTAGCATGCACAAGCACAAGGCACAACGTTGGATGCCCAACACTGCTAAAAAAGAAAGAATAAAAAGAAAAAAACATTTCAATCCTTGGTACCAAAAAAAGAAAAGAAAAGAAAAATCAAGAGTAGCCTATTAAACATATGCACTGTTATAAGATAAGGAAGAAAAAATAACTCATTTTGGGATTTGAGAAGACAGCAGAATCAAGGACAAAAATCACTTTATTGTCTTGGAAATATATGCTCAGTATTCAGTGAATTTTTAAAGATCCTTTCAGGTCGAGAATTTAGCTCAGTGGTGCTGATGCCTGCCTCACAAGTACAAGGTCCTGAGTTCGATGCCCGGTACCAAAAAAAAAAAAATTCCTTTCCACGACAATGGTGAAAGAATAAGAAGAAAGAGGAAACTATACTTGTCTTGGAAGTAAAAGAAATACAGTGCCTTTTTAAAATACTGTAATTTATTATTTTTTTTCTTTTTGCGGTACCGAGGATCGAACTCGGGGCCTTGTGCTTGCAAGGCGGCGACATCACTGAGCTAAATCCCCGGCCCTAAAATACTGTACTTTAAAAAAGTATATTGAGAACAAAACCAGGCAAAGCTAATCTGCACTACTATGTGTGCCTAAAGCTTTCAACTAGAGCGCTTTGTTTACAGTACTACCAATGCCTCAACCTGCCATTTTAAGATGTTTCCACAACTATAAACACCAGGAACTTCCTCTTCAACTACTATTTATCTCAGGGAATACAAGTATGAAAACTTTGCCAGGTGTGGTGGTGTGCATCTGTAAACCCAGGTACTGCAGAGGCTGAGGAGGAGGATCACAAGTTTGAGTGAGATCAGACTAACCAATTTAGTGAGACCCTGCCTAAAAAAAGAAAGAAAGAAAGAAAGAAAGGAACAAAGAAAACGTAAATGCTTAAGAGCTTCCTGGATTAAGGCGTTTGTCATTTGTCCCATTATGGTTTTATGCAGAATATTGTTTGCAGAGATTTCGATCAAGCCTGCCCCCGCCAAGGTATAATTCTTGAGTTGTTATCAAGCTCAATTGCTTACTCTGAAATTAAAGGAAATCACTTTATAATAAATCAGACACAACAGGGTCTCTGGGCAATCATTTTGAGTGAGCTCTAACGTTCTTTCCAAAGCCTGGAACACAGAAGCCGGGCTTCGGAGAAGGGCAAAGCTGGCTCCCTGGGGAACAGCACCCCACGCCCGCCATCTCTTCCTCTCTGAGCTGCGTCTTCAGGACAAACTGGGCAGAAGGGAGGGGGCGGGTGGCAGCCCTCCCGTCGGCGCCAATGCAGAGACTGCAACGCGACGATCTCCGCGCCCAGCCCAGCCCAGCCCGTGCCCGCCTCACAGACGGGGCCGAAGGGAAAGCGGGTCAACGTTAGACAACCAGCATCAGCTGGTTTTCAAAAATAGCAACTCGCGGCTCCGCACCGCACGCTCCCGCCGGCCCAGCTCCCGGCGCTCAGCTCTCCAGCAATGCACCTCGACATTTCCACACTCGCCTGTACGAAATAATTTTTGTAAAGCTGTATCAAAGACCTCGTCCAATGTACACGTCACCGAGCGCAGTCAGCGTTTTTCAATGACCCTAGTTCCCCGTCGATTTAGCTAACTGCACAGAAAATCCTCAACTACTCCCACAAGTCTCAGAGATGGGAGGGCTCTGGACTGCACCTACCTGCGCCTCACAGCCAGAGCATCTCTCTCGCCCACACAGTGGAGTCTGTCGGAGAGTTTCCCTCCGCGTCCCGGAAGTGCGTTTCCAGCGAGGATACGCACCAGAGGCTTCTGGGAGCACAGGCGGACTCGCTCGCGTCTTGCAAGAGAAGGACCGGGTGTCTGGACTACAGTTCCCAGAAGCCACCGGGGCTCCGGCGCCGGCCGAATCCAGCGCTCTCACCCCGCCCAGCCACCCTTTCTCCAGGGTCCGCTGGTACGTCGTGTTTGCTCTAGGTTTAGCTTCTCGGTTTTAACCGTGTACATCCAGAGGTAGCGAATCACTCTGCTTTAAGTATCCATAAATGTTTCCTATTAAATGTGATTGGCCCATAGAAGTTTAGCAGAAATTCTCAAATCCGAACTTCCGCTCGCCCCTCCTCATTTTACTAGGCAGGAGTGGAGTAGAGCCCAAACTCCAGAGGCAGAGGGGCCTGGGTTTGATGAAGCTCTGGCATGTACTGGTTGGGTGGCCCCAGGCAAGTTACTTCTCTGTTACCTCTCTGTCTGAGGTTATCTGGAAAATGAGGGATAATAAGATTGCCTACACCATATGGCTGTCTCCTGTGCATAGAGCTACGGTATTTATTAGATATTTCAACTTCTCTGCCACACAGTTTCAACTGTTCTATCCCTTTTGCTCTGGGCGTCTCTTAAATGTGAAGTCTTATACTTGAGAATATCTGAATTAAACTAAACGTAACATTAATTAAACTACGTAACACTGATATGGCTTTTTTTTTTTAAGGTTGAAATGTTATACATATTACTTGCAAACGGTCGAAAACACAAACGGAGATAGACACAGCAAATGTTGAGAGCTGTTGAGTTTAAAAGTAAGTGGCGGTTCACTGCACTGCTCCTTTAATTTTCTGTGGCTTTAAAGATTTTCCAAATTTAAAAAATCATAGTTTACAAAAGTAAAGAATCGCACCAATCCCTATCCCCCTCTACCCCTATATAACTCTGGACAAGTTAACCTCATAGTCAGACTATGTAGAGAAGTTTACAACAGTGAGCAAACGTAATAGGGACTGGATGCTTTAATATTTGTTTTGTGTTACTCTAGTAGCAATGGGACTACTACTCAGAAAAAGGGAAAAAGGTCTATTATCTCTCCTACTACTATCCCCTTTGTCGTTTACCATATTGTACACAGAACGAATAAGGTTCTCTAAGGTGAGAAGCAATTCCAGAACCAGCCAGTGAAAGCACCTGAGGCCTAGACTCTAGGCTAGTTGGGGCAATAGCAGATGGGGCACAGCATTGTGGCACAGGATAATCACTTTGCTCTAAACTTCAGTTCTCCTGGCTTTAAAACTGAATTGGATGAAACAATTGTGTACCAAATAACTTCATAATTTACTTCTCTATCATTGATAACTGCTACTTGATTAGCAGTCTGTGGCTGGAATGTAATAAACAACACAGAAAGGAAGGGAAGCTATCCCTATTGCTAGGTTTATTGACCAAGGTGGGTTCATCTTGGTCAAGAACAGTAGGATTCATGCCCACTGGGGTTCAGTGATTACTGGAATATAATTATCAAAATGACTTGGGCTTTCCCGTTTTTCTCACCAGAGCTCCTTTAAGGAGTAAGTCATATCCTAGAGCAGATTGACCACAATCTACCTTTTACCACCAAAATTCTATAGATTCCCATCTGGTCACTGTATTACTTTTCTATTGCAGTAGTAAGAAATTACCACAAATTGTGACGCTTAAAAACACCATAAAATTATCTTTTACTTCTGAAGGTCAGAAGTCTGACGCAGGTCTCACTAGGATAAAATCAAATATCAACAGGGCTGGGATATTGTGTGTGTGTGTGTGTTTGGAGTGTCCTGGGGAGAACTTGTCTTTTCTTTCCCAGCTTCCTAAAGATGCCTGCATTTCCTGGCAGGGAGTCCCATTCTGTCTTCAGAACCAGCAATGGCTGATCAAGTCCTTATATCACATCACGCTGACACTTCTGCCTCCCTCTTCCATCTTTTAAGAACCTTGTGTGCCCAGCCACGTAATCTAGGATATCTCTGTTTTATAGTCATGAGATTAGCAATTTTAATCCCATCCAGAACCTTTTCCTGTTGCCATGTAACATGGCATATTCAGAGACTCCAGAATGAGAATATAAACATCTTTAGGAGACTATTATTCTACCACTAATAACCTCTTCCTGGCTGAATCCAAAGGCCTCTTTTTTTTCCTAATTCTTGTCTACCTTCAGATGCCTATTGTGTGATTTGGACCATCTCTTTTTTCCTAAACTCTTTTTTCTTTGGATTTGGGAATGCCAAGATTTCTATGTCTAGTTTATCCAGTAGTTTTTTGTTAACTTGTTGTTTTCACTTTCTCCAAGGTAATTATCCAAAAGGTTGGTCCTTCCCTCCCTTTCCCAATTAATAAACTTCCTCAGAGGGCAACTTGTTTTCTGTCTCCCCGAATCTGCCTCTTTGGATCAGGCTTTCCATGACTTTAGGATGATTTGTAATTATCAGATCATATGGTTGACATCTATTATTTTAACTCCAGCATTTTCCCAATACAAATTACAACTGTATCCCTTAGATTTTCCACCATTCCTTATTTCATCAGTGGTTTCACTTTCTCTTTGGTATTTTCTTGATTCTTCCTTACTCCTTGTTCACTACAACAAATTGTCAATATCCTATTTGCACCATTGCATTAACACATCAGGATACGTATAACAATTTCCTTCCATATATATTAAAGTAAGAATAAGATATCATTGACTGTTTATTATGTACCAAGCACTTGGTTCATTTTCATGGATCATCTAATTCCAATAACCTTGTATTACTGACAAAGAAACTGGGATGTAGGGTGCTAAATAATTGGCCCCAAATTGAGAAGTGGTAATTGTGGGCCTTCCTAAAAGTCATGTCACTGATCAGAACACAGGCCTGTCTCCTTACTTTGAATTTCTCCTTTAATACTTTACATTTTCTGAATATTCATTGAAGCTATTCTTGAATGTGAATGATCTCCTACTATCCCTTTTGCCCATCCAAATCTTATTTACATTTCCTTTTCTCAATACTGGTGACTTCTCTAAATTGTGTGCAACCCATCAACTCCAACCTGTAAACTAATTTGTACATTTTGCTCCCTTTTTATGTGTTAGTCATATCTCACCAAAGTATTTCTAAGTCTGTAGGTGAATTATAACAAATATAGATTAATGCAGGGGGAACCCCCATATAGTAATTTGTAGAGGAGCTTGTTAAGAATAATGGATAATATAATCTACTAAAGGGAAAATGTACTATTACTACTACTTGGGAAATGTAGAGTGAAAAACAGAAAAGTGTTATAGGCCGAACTGTTTCCTCAGCAAATTCATATCTTGACATCATGAAACACAGCCCCTCAGACTCTAACCTTACTGGAGACAAGTTCTTTACAGGGATAATCACATGATGGTGCACACCTGTAGTCCCAGCACTTGGGAGGCTGAGGCAGGAGGATCACTGTGCATTTATTTGAAACCAGCCTAGGCCACATAGTGAGTTCAAGGCCAGTCTGAACTACACAGTAAGACCCAGTCTCCAAAAAGCCCCCCAAAAACAAAAAAATGAGGTCATTAGGTTAGGTCCTTAACCAATGACTATTTATAAAAAGGGGAAATTTGAGCTGACTGTGGTGACACATGCTTATAATCCCAGCATTCTAGGAGGCTGAAACAGGAAGATCCCAAATTTCAGCCCGGCCCGGGCAATTTAGCAACTTACTGAGACCTTGTCACAAAATAAAAAATAAAAAAGTCTAGGGACATAGCTCAGTTTGAAGGTCCTAAGTTCAATCGCCTGTACCACAAAAAGGGGGGAAGAATGGGAAACAGTCATCACACAGGAAGGCTGAGAAGATGCCATGTCAATATTTTAAGGCAGAGATTGGGTTACAACCACAAGCAAGCCAAGGGATACCAAATATTGCCAACAAATCCTCAGAAACCAAGCTGCAAGCACCGGAGAACCTCACAGCTCTCAGAAGCACCCAGCCCTGCCTATATCTTGATCTCAGATTACAGCCTCCTGAGCCATAAAATAGTTTGTTGTTTAAGCCACCCAGTTTGTGATGTTTTGTTATGGAAGCTCCAGAAAATTAATAAAGTAACACAAAGTTCTGAATACGTTCAACAGAAAGTTATGATTTTAAAAAGTTAAATAAATAGGACACACATGTATAAGTACTGAATTCTCTCTCGTGAGAGAAACTGAAAATGTAAATGAGGACCAAAATGTATAATAATGTGAAATAGGAACCAAATAGTTCAAAGGGGAAGGGGAAGTGGGGGGAGGGGTGGGGGAAAGGAAAGAAGGGAAAGAAAAATTATGCAAAAAGGAAAAAAATGGAAACAAAGCTTTTGTAAATAGGGAGGGGTGGAGGAGTGGAAGGGAGAGAAGGGGAATGAGGGAAAAACAAGAACTAAGATATATCATGTACAGGTACAAATTCCAAATGATGAATATGATCATAATGTATACATAAAATGTACCAATGAAGTTAATTTAAAAAAAACTATTAGGTAGTTGGGCACGGTCACATGCACCTGTAGTCTCAGCTACTAAAGGGTGAGGGTGGATCATTTGAGGCTGGGAGTTCAAAGCAAGTGTGAGCAACACAGCAAGACTCTTGTCTCATTAAAAAGGAAGGAAGGAAGGAAAGAAGAGAGAGACAGAGACAGAAGCAAAAGGAAACTATAAACACAGGACCAGAGGAAAAAACTCTGGCCTTCAATTCCCCAGAGTGCTAGAATTACAAGCATGTGCTACCAAGCCCGAGTCCCTCAATTTTCTTTTAAAGAAACTTGTATGTTAATATTTTAAATGAGGGAACTAGCACAAAGAAACAACTACTGGGATCTCATCTTAAAAAGCTTCTGCACTGCAAGAGAAACCACCAACAGAACTAAGAGACAACCTACAATGTGGGCAAAAGTTTTTACCAGCTGTTCCTCAGACAAAGGTCTACTATCTAGAATACATAACTAAAAAAAATCAGACCCCCCAAATATAAAGACCCAACTCAAAAATGGGCATCTGAAATGAACAGACATTTCTCAGGCAAAGAAGTAAAACCAGCAAATAAACATGAAAAAATGTTCAACACCACTGGTCATTCAAGAGATGCAGATGAAAACAACACCGAGACTCCCCCTGACCCCAGAAAGAATGGCTGCTATCAAGAAATCAACCAATGACAAATGCTGGCGGGGGTGTAGGGGGAAAGGAACCCTTCTCCATTGTTGTTGGGAGTGCAGACTGGTGCAACCACTGTGGAAATCAGTATGGAGACACCTCAAAGAACTAGGGCTGGAGGTCCCATTTGACCCACCTATTCCTCTACTGGGTATCTTCCCAAAAGAATTAAAAGAATCATACCACAGTGATATATGTGCACCCATGTTTATAGCGGCACAGTTTGTAATTGCTAAATTTTGGAAGCAGCCCAATTGTCCATCAACTGGATACTGGATAAAGATTTGTTCTTTTTTATAAAATGGAGTACTACTCAGCTGTAAAGAATGAGAAACTAGAGACATTTATAGCTAAGTGGATGCACATTGAAGCCATACTCTTAAGTGAAATAAATAGAACACACATGTGTAAATACCAATTCTTTGGTGTGAAAAACTAAAAGTATAAATAAGGATCAAAATGTATAACTAATATTGTGAAATAGGAAGAAAACGTCTAAAGGAGTAGGGGAAGTGGGAGTGCTAGGAGAAAGGAAAGAAGGGAAAAGAAAAAGTAGGAGAAAAGAAAAAGGAAACAGTCTTTGTAAATAGGGAGGGGTGGAGGGGATGAAGGGAGGGCAGGGGAATAGGGAAAAAATAAGATACATCATGTAAAGGTACAAGATCCCAATGATGAATGTAACTGTACTATATACCTAAAATGTACCAATAAAGTTAATGGAAAAAATATTTTAAATGAATGTGTTACACATTTGGCATTATAACATCATCAGTTCTCAGGCCAGGGATATAGCTCAGTGGCACAGTGCCTGCTCTGGCAAGTGCAAGTCCCTGGTACCAAAAAAAATCAAAAATCAAAAAACATTATTGGTTCTTAAGTGTATCAGTTTTTCTGGTTTTCACATTTATAGGAAAACCCATGTGTACTCATATTGTTTTTAGCATCTCTTGGCAAGAAGTGGAAACCACTTCCTGGAAAGTGGTTTCCACTTCTTGGAAACTGGAGCTCTGATATTATATAGTACTCTTATTTTCCCCATTTGGATTCAGCTGACCAGTGGCTTTTATTACTCTGTCATTTAATTATGTTTCAAATCTAGTCATAAGCTTTTGCTCAACATCTGTCCTTAATTTAAAATATTCCATCTCCCTCTATTTGTACCAAACCATATACAAATAAAAATGAAGGTATGTTTTAGCTGTATTATGTCATTTTTCTTAGTATAAGATTATACCAGAGTCTCCTTAAAGCCTTATATAAAAATAATATGAGTAATAATGTTTGATAACCAATAAAAAAATGAAAGCATTGGTAAGAGTATACTGACAATTTCAGAAAAACCTATGGGAATACAGGCCATAAACAAAGCTTTTTGTCCTTTGCTTTCAACTTTGAACACACTCAGTTTACAAAATGGACAAAAATACTTTGTCCTATATTGCTTTAAAATTAGTTTAATATAAACTGCATATCCTGTTTTTCAAATCCCAAGAATTTCAAAGGACATGATTCGGGTAATAGCTATCCTGCACACAGCCTATCTGAGCATCCCCAAAAATTTAATTTTTATTATAAACACTGTAATATGTACAAAGATGATTACTTCCTCCGGTCTTCAAAGTACCCAACAACTATTAATTAAGCAACAGTCATGTGGTGAAAAAATATTTTTTTAAAATTAGAATTGCCTAAAACTAGTGGTTGGTAATAGTGAGAAATGGTAGTTAAAAATGCCCTGGGCTTTTTCATGTTTTCCAGGGGCAACTGAGGCAATGACCCCACCTATTACTTGTGAGTTATTCCAACATTAACATTATTCCTTCTTTTTCTTCATTTTTATTACCTACTTGATTTTGATTTTCCTTTACCTGGCAAGTGAAACTTACTCAAAAAGATTCCTCTAATAGATACTTTCTCTCTCCTTCTAAGTTCCAATTAGAAAACAGAAAACAAGAGATAGGAAGTTATCTCTTTAAGAAGAAAAGTGGCTTTTTCTTTGCATTAAGTTTGCAGAAAAAATTATATTTATGTCAACTGTTTCTCATTGGCTTAATTCCCAAGTTGTAAAATTCTGTAAAGCAAAGAATGTATTTTTCTTGTCTTTTAAAAAATATTTTAGTTTCAGAAGTTTTAAAAAAACCCTTATGTGTGTACCACCCATCTTTAAAAAACAATAAATGACCATGAGGCAATATAATGTAGTATTTAAATGAGTTAATATATGCAGTGTACTCAGCACATAATCGGTATATGGTAACATCACCATATTACGTATTATTAGGATTATTCAGTCTTATGTGCTCAAAATTTCTGAATTTGTTTCACTTGGTTATTCTGTAAGGAAAGATTTAAACCAAAGTTTAGATGCTCTTTAAGGTCTTAAAAATATACATTAAATTGAATTCACTATTTGGTCTAAACAAAATGTTGCCAACTCTGTAAAACTGCTTAGAAAATACTATTTGCTTATATATATTTTTTGACAACAAAAATTGATAGTTTTAATTAACTACCTGAAAGGAGTCTCTACTTTCATCTTGCAAAACAAGCAGAGTTCAAAGGAAACGTGACTTTATAAAAAACTAAGTGGATAAAACCTGAAATATAATACCCTTGACCTAATTTATCTCATTATAAAGCAAACTTTCCCCTTGATTACATAACTAATTTTTCATTTAAAAGAAAATAAAGTTCAACCTATTATGATAAATACTATACATGTTAGATACCACAATGTTCTCCTCAAGGATGCACTGCATATGATGATGATCCCACAAGATTCTATCAAGTAGTGATTTTGTAGCTTAGTTTGTGTAAATACACTCTACAGTTTCACAACAATCACCAAAGGATGGCTTCTTGGACTGCATCCCTATCATTAAGCAACCCATGTGGTATATCACAAAAGTACAATATAATAGGTACTGATACTTTAATTCATAGGTGAAATTTTCAGTGCACAAATTCAACTCCACAGCATAATATAGTACAATATTTGACAGTATACATTTGTATTTTATGATGATAAATAAATCTGATATGGCAAGTTCTACCAAGAATTATCAGGATTCAGTAAAAAAAAAAAGTGTTTTTTTGGAGATGGGGTCTCACTATGTAGTTCAGGCCAGTCTTGAACTATGTAGCCCCCAAGCTGGCCTTGAACTAACAGCAATCTTCCTGCCTCAGCCTCATGAGTAATGGGATTACAGGCATGTACCACTACACCTAGCAGACTTTACTAAGCATTAAATTCCAAAATAACTTCTAATAGGAAGTAGAATTTAAGAATTTTTTAAAGCTCATTAACTTGTGTTTTAATAAAGCTGGAAAAATTTACATAAATAAATCATTTGGGTAAGGATATATGCATAAAAACTTTTGCAAGGACATAAACTATCAACAGTGCCTTTCTCTGGAAAGATTAAAGGGCCTCTGGCCGGGGATTTAGCTCAGTGGTTTCACCACCTGCTGCGCAGGCGCAAGGACCCGAGGTTGATCCCCGGTACCAAAAAACAAAAGATTAAAGGGCCTCATGCAAAAAGGAGATATTTTTTGCTTAAATGCTTTTGTACTGTTTGAATATTTTATAATATGTACATTTTGTAATAAGTCATTTAAAAGGAAAATTCTATTGTATTTTTTAAGCACCTAGGCAGAAATTTAGAATTTGTAATAATCTATATAATATGTAGATGATTAATACTGTTCAAGGTTTTCACTTTCTATTCTCTCTTTACTAAAATATGAAAGTGGACAATGAAACAGACTTAAGAAAATGAAACATGGATCAGTCTCCTACAAAGCATGAAAATATACTCATATTTAGGAAAGAAAAATTTTCCAAAAACTCAGTCACAAACACTGATCTGCTGGCTTCTGTTAGATACTATCTTTGATCTTTATTATCACTGAATATGTGTTCAATCTTAGGGTTTTGAGGTTTTCCACAAAGAGAACTATTATATATTAAATGCAACCAGGTACATGATAGAGCCTGCCCCCAAATGCAAACCCTAGCTGCTTATTCTACTAATCCATTTAAGAAATCATCCTGTGCAATTAAAAACAATGTTCTCAGTAGGTACCTAATAAAGGAATATCAGCGAATATTATCACAGGATTAGCCCTAAACTTGTAAAATGTAAATTTTTTTAAGCTCTGTTAACTTTTATTATTGATATACTTAACTACAAAAGAATAATTTAAAAGGTATAGATCTTGAATGATGGCACGTATAACATCAGTAGTAGTACTAAAAAAGTGTGGAAAAGCTTGCTACTTAATAGTTTCAATACCTTTTTAAAAATTGACACATAAAAATTATATACATTTATCACGTACAATATGGTGTTTGGAAATATGTACAGTGTCCAATAGCTCGGTCAAGATAATTAACATATGCATTTCCTCATTTTTTTTGTGTTCAGAATACTTATAACCTACATTCCTAACAACTTTCAAAATATACTATGCTGTTACAACTACAGACACTGAGCTGTGCACTAGATCTCCAATATTTATATTAAATGAAACTTTCTATCTTTTGACTAACATCTCCTTCTCCTCCATCACTCTATTCCCTCCATCTGCATCTATGAACAAATATTTTAGATTATACATAAGTGAGATCATGTGGTATTTGTCTGTGACTGGCTTATTTCTCTTAACATGATGTTATCTAGGTTCATCCATGCTCTCACAAATGACATGATTTCCTTCTCTTTGGACCACATACTAATTCACAAGTACTATTTTTACCAGAGTTAAATTATATCCTTTCTGGAACTAGTGACAGCATTCTTTAATGATGGCTCATTGTACAATAACGTATCAGAAATCCTCAAATTAAGCAACTGTTTCTTATAATATGCCTCATTTTCCTGGCTGGCATGTTCATCTAGTGATTTCTTTATACAGTTCTTCAATTCTTCAATTCCTTCTCCAGTAACAGCAGAAATAGGGATGATATGTTGGAACTCCATAGTTCTCTCTGGAATCATGTTCTTCTGAAATAAATGCAGAAAATCTGAAACAAAGAATATAAAGCTAAGGTGATTTCTATTGTCTTTGACGTGTGATGTACGTGTATCAACTCCGAACAAGGGATATAAACATGTACTGCAAACATGTACAAAGGAGGGTGTGTGTGTGTGTGTGAAGAGATGGGGGGATAAAAAAAGGAATTAAGATGTGTATGTACATGTACCAACTTCCCACAAGGGATCTAAACATTATGTACTACACATTTGTACTAATAAAGTAAAATCTAAAAAAAAATTAATCAAAGCTATATTAGAGGGTTGACTTGTGAAGCATGGAACCAAGCTGTATTTAAGTCCCTTTTCTCCTTTCTCTCTCTAATAAACTATGGAACACTTAGATTTTACTAATGACAATAAGGTTCTTGTCACATAAGGTACTTAGTAAATATTTTTGGACCAATATGCTTTAAAACAATAAATAGAAGATGAATTGTGAAGATACATATTCACAGAAGTAATAAAATTTGCTTTTGGGGGCTCAATAAGGTAAGGCAACATAAGTACTTTGAAAGAAAGTTTCTGCAATATTAGTAACATCATTTATAATGTGGGACATTCTAGCTGGCATTGTATACTCATGTACTTTTACTTTCTTAAGTGTATGTTTATCATCACTGATGCCAAGATCCATACCAAAACTGAAGGGGGAATAGGAACAGTGCAAGCAGAGATCATTTCAGATTGCAATCTACTGCTCTCAAGAGCAAACAGATGTTCTATTACTTTTTCCTCTTCCCTACCTCAGTGGCCACGGGAGGGAGGACAACACACTGATTGGATAGGTTAACAGTGACAAGACCTAAACAGGCTAGACTGAAAGAGATTGGACAAGTCAACATGGAGTGTGGTTTCTGAGATCTGTAGGAAGCCCAGGAAAATCCAGAGAAGCTCACTCAAGAATTACGATGGTATAGAACAGTTGTAAACTCTTGAGTTACCCTCACTTTTGGTGTCACCCCTGAAAATTCCTTTCTCTGCAGAAGACCAACTAGAGAACAGAACTAGTGACCTTATAAAGCAAATGATACTAAGGAATACAGACCATTTACTAATATTAGGGGATATTTATACTTCAGGAATGAATTATTAATTCAAGGAAAGCCTTAACATATAATGTTGAAAAAAGTTTGAGAGAGGAAAGGAGCAGGACCTTCTGGCACTGTCTGCTTTTCCTAATACATAGTAATCTATTTCCCCCAACCTTTACTCCAAACAAAAAAACCCCAAAGAAATTAGTATTATTTAAAAATATAGAGCTGGGTATGGTGGCAGACATCTGTAATCCTAGCACTCGGGAGGCTGAGGCAAAAGGATCACTCCAAGTTCAAGGCCAGCCTGGTCTACATAGTGAGTTCAAGACCAGCCTGAACTACATAGTGAGACCCTGTCTCAAAAAACAAAACAAAACAAAACAGAAGACGACGCTGGCCATTTACTATGTAACCTATCTTTCCTCATTTGTGCATGAGGTCCTCTACTAGATTCAGAAACTGAAAGCATCCTCACCATAGGATGTATGTGTTCTATAAGTGTCCATACTCAAAACTGCGGAGATTGCCTTTAAGTTTCTTTACAAAGTTGGCCCTTTATAAAATTTCAGATAAATCCTTCTGGCATAACAACATCTATTTTTCCATGTAACATATGGTAAGAGCTCAAGTTCATTTCAGAAGATTGATAACTCTTCAGAGATCTATAGCATTGGTGTTCCAAAGAAAGATACCTCTTCAAACTACTGCCTCTGTTCTTGTATTTATGGTGTAATAGGGAAATGAGGCTCTAGAGCTTGTGATGTATGTTAATTACAGTGAAAAATTTCCCAGGTAGATGCTGACTTTTTCTTCCTTTTATCCAAATCCAAGCACTTTTAAAGAACCCATCTGAAGTCTTATTTCTTCATAATGCCTAACCTTTTCAGATCAAATTAATCATTCTTTGGTCCTTTAACTTATAGTTTGTATGACACATTACAGAGCTTCATAATGACTATGTTAAAATGTTATTGAAATGTTTAATATGGTATATGTTCTTTCTTCAAAGATACTTTTTTAAAGATAGAAACTATCAATTTTCTTTACCATTGATTATAACATTTAGCATTCACTGCACACAATAAGTACTTACTAAATTGGAATTAAGTGAAATGAGTGGGTTTACCTTTAGGATTCTGGAGTTGGCTCATCAGTTCATGAAATTTATCATGGGCATTTGGCAAGTCCATTTTATTAACTGCCAGGAGTGCAGGTTTCATCTGAAGCTCCTCTTTGTATAATTCCAACTCCTTTAAATTAAGAGAAAAATCAAAAAAATTTATAACACTATCTATATAAATTAAACACTTAATAATGTCTTTCTTTAATAATTTGAGAAATCTATCTTATTTTTTGCAGTACTAGGATTGAACCTAGGGCCTTCCAAATGTAAAGCATACTGAGGAGCTACATTTCCAAACCTTACCTGGGAAATCTAAAATCCATTCACATCACTGAAATGCAGTAAGTCTCAAAAAGCTATAAAACAAAGGAAATTCAGAAAATGCTTCTAGTTAGGGCATGTAATAGTACATGTTAGCTCAAGTGGCTACCAAGAGATAGCTGATTTTATGTCTACAACCAAGTGTAGGTATTTGGATTTCACAGAAACAAAATTCTTCAATACTGATAATTTAATAGTATATCTACAGTATTCATGGAATACTATATTGTCTTAGTTAGTTTACACGTTGCTGAGACAAAATACCTAACACCCAAAGGAGGAAAGGTTTATTTGGCATAGCAGGGCAGGCAGAAGGCAGCAAACAAGCAACGTGTGTAGACAGTAGTTTCTTTCTGTCCCTTTATATTTTATTTAGGCTGTCTGCCCTTACGGTGGGTAGCACTTACACACAGAACTATGGCAAACCAATCAGTGGACTAATTCAGCAACTACACACTCTTAATCCCAGCACCACACACTCTAGATCTATCTACTTTGAAAAGCCCTACCTATGATGGCATGAATTTTTAGGGGAACATTTAGACACAAGCACCTATATATTTTTTTTTGTACTGTTTTCTTGTTATTGAGGAGTTCCTGACAAATTTTCAGTTTTGCTTTTTTAAACAATACTAGGATTGAACCTAGAAGCTACATCCTCTGCCTATTTTTTATTTATCTTAGTATTCTTTATGATGCCGGGGATGGAACCTAGGACCTTGTGCCTGTGAGGCAAATGCTCTACCACTACCCTATTTTTTAATTTGAAACAAGGTCTTGCTAAGTTGGCAAAGCTGTTCTCAAACTTCTTATCCTCCCGTCTCAATCTCTTAGAGTGGTGGGATTATAGGTATGTGCCATCATGCCTGGCACTTTTTTTCTTTCTTTTGAGTTGGGTTTTTGCTGTTTCCTAGGCTGTCCTTGAACCCTAGATCTTCTTACCTCAGACTCCCAAGTAGCTGGGATTTAGGCATCATATCCTGATGAGTTTCTAATACATTTTGGATATTAAGCCCTTATCAGATGGATAGTTTACAAATATTTTCTCTCATTTATTAGGCTGTCTCTTCACTGCTGATTGTTGACTTTGCTGTGCAGAAGCTTTTTAAATTTAATGCAATCCCAATGATCTACTTTCACTTTTTTTCATTGTGCTTTAAGGATCATATCCAAAAAAAGCATTGCTCAGACTATGTCAGAAAACTTTTCCCATATATTTGCTTCTTTTATAACTTTCAAGTCTTACTTTTGCTGGAAATATAGCTCATGGTAGAGTGTGTGCATTAAAAAAATTCTTACTGTGAGTCTTTAATCCATTTTGATTTGACTTTTGCATATGAAATGGGATGATAGTCAAATATGCATTTTCCAGCAGCATTTACTAAAGATACTATCATTTCCCCATTTCTGTTCTAGGCATCTTTGTCAAAGTTCAGTTGACTGTAAATATGTGGATTTATTTCTGTGTTCTATCCCACTAGTCTTCATGTCTCTTTTTATGCCTGTACCATGTTATGTTGATTAATATAGCTTTGTAGTTGGTCTTGAAATTAGGTAGTGTAAAGCCTCTAGCTTTGTTCTTTTTAATCAAGATTGCTCTGGCTATTTGGGGTCTTCTGTGGCTCCTTATAAACTTTCAGATTTTCAATTTGTGTGAAAATTGCCATTGGAATTTCAATAGGGGTTACACGTTGAGTGTGTAGATTATTTTGGATAGTATAGAACTAATTAAAAATGGGTAATAAATTTAAATATACATTCCTCAAAATTACAAGTGATCAACAGATATATGAAAAATGTTCAGTAACATCAGTCACCAGGAAAACAAAATTTAAATCAAAGATACCATTTTATACCTGTAGGATGGCTATTATCAAAAAGAAATAACCAGTGGTTGCAAGGATTTGGCGAAAAAGGAACCCTTATACACTGTTGTTGGAAATGTAAATTAGTACAGCCATTATGAAAAAGTTTCCTCAAAAAAATTAAAAATTAGAATATACCATATGACCCAGCAATCCCACCACGAGGTATATAGCCACAGGAAATGAATCAGCATGTCACTGCACTCCCATGTTCACTGCAGTAATGTTCACAATGGGCAAAAAATAGAAAAAACCTAAGTGTCCACCAACTGATGAAAGGATAAAGAAAACGTAGTACAGGGCTGGGGATTTAGCTCAGTGGTTCCACCGCCTGCCTCACAAGCGCAAAGACCCGAGTTCGATCCCCAGTACCAAAAAAAACCCCACCAAAAACGTGGTACACATAATGGAATACTGTTCGGCTTAAAAGAGAATGAAATCTTGTCATCTGTGCAAGCACAGATAGAACTGGAGATCCATTAGGTTAGGTGAAAAAGAGCTAGGCAGAGAGTAAAGTACCAAGTGATCTCATTCATACGTGGAACCTAAAAAAGCTGATGTCCTAGAACTTCAGAGTAGGATGGTGACTACCAGAAGGGTGGGGGTGTGATGTAGGGAGGCAGGGGGAAAAGACTGATCATTGGGTACTAAGTTACAGTAAAAGAAGTTGTGGTGTGCTACTGTATAGCAGGATGATTACTGATAACAATGACGTACTGATCATTTCAAAAAAGCTACAAGAAAGGATATTGAAAGTTTTCACCATAAAGAAATGATGTTTGAGGAGATAAATGTCTAACCTGATTTAAACATTACACAATGTGTACATGTATCAAACCATTACACGGTACTCCATTAATATGTACCATTTTATGTTTTTGTGGCAGTCAAAGAAATTTTTTTAAATGGGCAAAGAATCTGAATAGATTTCTCCAGAAATATACAAATGGCTAATAAGCACATGAAAAAATGCTTAGCATCATTAATTGTAAGAGAAATGTAAATCAAAACAGCAATGAAATAATACAGCACTCCCACTAGAATGGGTTAAATTAAAACAACAGACAGAGCAGACTGGTGAGGACTTCAGGTGCTTGGAGCTGAGGCTGTCAGCCCCCGTCCCCCATCCCGCCTCTGAGCAATGAGTGGAGCCACAATGCCCCCACCCCTGGCTTCCTGGCTGTGTTGGTACCTGGTTCCACACTGCAGAGACACACGGGGTCATAAAGGCCATTGTCCTGAGCTCCAGATGAGAACAACAGAATGAGGGTCTCTATCAGGCTCCTTGATGAAAATTGAAGCCCACTGGAAAAGTGATGAGAATCTCTGCAATAAAGGCACACCAGACCACTGAAGTTGTTAAGTAGGAGGGATCATCACCTGCCATCGGAACCTGCAGTAGAACCTTGAGTTCAACCCTGCAGGAGGGCAGGGAGCTCAACTTGGGACTTGCAGGCAGGAATCAGCCTGACTCTCAAGGGTTTGCTCCTGGCTTGCTGAGACTAATTGACTTATATCTGCACACTGCTGTTCACATTGTCTATTGTGACAACAGAGACATACCCTGAAGGAGGCCCTTCATTTTTATCCTTTGTTAGTCTCAAAATTATTATTTTTTAATCTTATTTTTAATTTTTATTTTTTTCTACTCTTTTCAAAATTTTCTTTTTGTTTTCTCTTTTTTTCTTCTTTTCTTTCTCTCTCTTTCACTCTCCCACATTGTTCTTCATCTCCCTTTTTGTTCCTGTTCCAGCCCTAATTCAGATTTCTTCTTTCTTTTTCTTTTTTTCCTTCTCTAGATTGTCATTAGTTTTAAAGGGAAGTAAAGTTTCTAGCCTCCCTATTGCTGTTAGGTTGTTCTGTTCTTGTCTTTGTTCTTGCATTCTGTCTTTTCCCCTTGTCTTCAACAGTTTCCTAGAGTTGCGTGATCTTCCTCTGTCATCTGGCCTCACTACTAACCTTTCCCTATCCTTCTACCTATCCCTCCTTCCCCAACTCCTTCTAAGTCCCCATCCTGAAGGGTAAAGTTGCTATATTGAAGAGTTTATTCACTATAAACATATTTTGTGTGGGGCCTCAATTTTGATTTAATTCACACAGTTAAAGGTGATAGATGAGTAACTACCACACACTGTTATTTTCTAAGCTGTGCTTGATGGTATTGTGTTGCCGATCGTATCACTTGGGCTAAGATGTTGTCACTGATCTAACCAGCTGTCCTTCCTGGTATAATGAAAATGAGATACCTTCAGTCATTAGAGACTCAAAACCTAAAGAACAGCTATGTCTAGAAGACACCTCTGAGCAGAAATCATTCCATAAGGGTTCTAAATACAAGCAACAAAGATAATTACAATAAGCAACTTGAAAGTATTAACACAGGAATTAAACCAAAGACAGTACCAACAACAAAAATAGAAATGACAAGAAATTTAAGCAAGGCACAAACCCAGACTTCCAGCCACCAAAGGCAAATTCTGGGGGAAATGAGGTAGAAAAGTCTAATAATCAACCACCTGGACACCTTGAACTGATAGCACAGGAAGTAACAAAACACATGAATGAGGCTCTGGAAAAATTCAAAGCAGAAATAATCTCCCAGATTAAAAAAAATAGATGAGTTCAGGACCATGATGGAAACCATGAATGCCCAACAGGAAAGAAATGGAATCCATGAAACAGATTCGAACATATGTCCAGGAGATTAAAAACTCTATCGAAAGCATACACAGCAGACTGAGCCAATCTGAAGACAGAATATCAGATATAGAAGACAGGATGGTCAGTGACCATGAAAAGAGAGATCTCTTAAAAATAGTAAGGGACCATGAGAAATCAATCCAGCAGCTCCTACATGATGCAAAGAAGAATATAAGACTGAGAGGAGTCCATGAAAAAGCAGAAGAAAGTACAAATGACATTAAAAAAAACTGTTCACAGA